AATCAAAACCATAATCGCCCCATTGCACCACCGGTCCGATTTTTTTTGCCCCATTCGATTCGGTTAACCACGGTTTTCGGTTTTAACAGTTCGAATTGCCATCCCTACTCAAATATAACTTACATTTTAATATTAAGATTTTAATTTAGTATTAAATTTGAAAATTAATAACTAAACTGAAAATTAAATATGTATTAATTTGAAATTTAAAACTTTTAATTTTATGTTACAACAATCCCTCACAAGGTTTAAAGTTTCAAAATAGATAAATAAATAATATATAGTGGCAACGTTATACTGCGTAATAGATGTAGGTGTCTTTTGGACTTGAACCTCATTAGTGATAACAATTTTCATTTGAGGGAGCCATAATGGACTAAGCCTTGAATTAGGTCCCTTTAGCCAAATTTCAATTGTCCCACACAAAGTATCGATTTAGACTCAATTCGTAACGGGTAGCGCTGTTAATGGCCATGCGCTCTAATCTTGATTTTAGTAAGAGTCTTTAGCGAATAGCACAATCTCATAGCCACGACCTCATGATAACTCTTACATAGGCGAGTCCTCCAATGGTGCATGTGACCCGCACCTCGCGAGAATTCTTGTCTCGATACTCATTCAGGGTTAAACCATTCCTAACATCACACTATTATTAGCACTATTGCCATAGGAATGAGTACAAATAATATAGTGTAATTACAAGTCACGCAGTACGAGTTATTTCTATCATATTGAACCTTCTTCATGGGATCTCCAATCACAAAGCTTGGGTTGCTCTTGGAGATGACTCTCTTATGTGTTTAAACTCATTCCCCTCGATGATTTATTATGTCCATTAAGGACTTTAATTTATCATGTCCCTTTTGGACAATAATTTGATACCATCATGTTTGCAAGCTCTTATTCTTAACCTGCACATCTACAAAACCTTCTAAATACATTTCAAAATATCAAATTCACGTTAAGTTTGATAAGATAAACACATGAAATTTTTAATATTGACTTTTAGCAAATGCATCAATGGAGCTCTTGTATTTCACCTACAATCTTCATATTTAATCGAATACTTCGCTCAAAAAATGTTAATTTTACAATTAAGAGTAGTAAAATATAAGATATATCTAAAAAAATTAAAACACCCCCACATTCCAAGGATATAATAATTATTTACCAAATAATTCTCAATCATCATATATCACAATATAATATTGATCTTTTCAGTTGACTAAGACTGATCAACCATCAATGTATATTCTACTCATATGTACACATCACATATGTGGATGACTATATTAATTTATTAATTACCATCATAATCATTGTGATCATCAAGTTGATGTCAAAGGTCATGGACATTTAGCCTATCTTGATTTGTTATATCCATAAATAATTAGCCATTTTTTCAAATCACTTAATCAAAGTTCTTTTACCAATGCATACAAGAACAACGATTGATCTAAAGAGCAAGAGAATACAATTTCTTCAAGAAAATATGTTAGACCTATAGATAATAGATGCTTCATTAACTGACTGAACATGTCAGAATACAGAAACATTAATTTGGTCCTTTGCATTTCGTTAAAACTGTATTTGTAATAGAAGTTTTCACCTATTTGATTGTACATCTAAATTTTGACATTGTTACTTTTGATTCTTCACGCAACCATCAAAGCAAAACATTCTATTCAAATATCCAAAGACAACAGATTATCTAAATCAGACACCAGAATCTGTAGCATAGTTATCGATGCACTATAACCATGGTAGAATGTCCCCTGGTGCTTAAGTGCAAAGCACTTGTCAATATGGAGACTTTATGATGTGAAGAACATCCTATAATAGGAACTTAGAAACCCCACATGCCCATAATATAATCAGGAAAATTATAAAATAGAAGCAACTTTTTTTAGAACATATGGTGCAGTAATTTCCAGCAAACTATAGAGAAGTTTCAGGATAAATTTTAGTTAAGTCACCACCAAAGTTTTCTCAGAATAACATTTCATATGTACTGTAGTAGGTAATCCAATTTAAATAAGCAAATGATTTAATTTTTTTTTTAATTCTCTATGAAAGCAATAGCCACTCAAAAAACAACCCCTACAATAATGAAAATTAATCCATACATAACCTACATTCTAATGTTTAAGTTTTGTATTAAATATGTGCTTTAAAACTTGAAACTGAAATTTAAATAAAATAAATTAAAGTTGGCTATAATTTTGAAAGTTGAAACTTTTTATAAGTTAAAAAATTTCAATAGAATAAAATCACTATTAATCATGGGAGTTACTCTTGGCTATAATACAGATTAATTATGAAAATAAACCACTTATTTTGGGTCAACTCAAAAAGAAGAAAAAATTATTGATGTGATGGAAAATATTATTTTATTGAAGAATGTGTGGTTGAAAATGAGAATTGATTTAATGTAGAAAAATTTAATCCTCCCCAAACGGGGCCTAAATTGTTTGTCAGTCAATATTTAATCTTCATTTAGGAATTGTTGATCCAGTGATATTAATGCCAGCAGCATATATAACCATATATCTGGAACCATGGGATTACCCTTCTTTCTCAATTCTAAATTTTATTTTTCAATGCATACCAAGATAGCCATAGGACTCATATTTTGTAGCCTCTCTGACCTTCAATTCATTGCCAATTGAAAACCATTTTAGACCAAATATATTACATATCATATGTTATATTTCAATGTAATAGATAATCACATCCCGTTACTCAGAATTTACTCGAACAACCCTTTTCCACCTAAATAAGTTTTAGTTCTTCAAATCAATACTACCAAAAGGAAGGTTAACAGAAATTTTAACGTTCGGTACATGTTCACTATCTGTTTAATTTGGTAGGCATAAACATCGAATATTTCGACTTACAATAGAAATTAGCATCAATCAAATATACCCATTGAATTAAGAAAGAAACGGCTTTCCAATAAACATTGAGAAGCAACTATAAGATTAAGTACATAAAAGTAAGTGGATAAGTCTAATTATAATTAAATATAATTAGCACAAGATCATTTTCCCTGTCACATTTCTGGTTAATAACATGGGATTTTTTTTTTTCTTTAAACATTGGCCATTCCCAAATATGCTTCAATTGCATTTACAGGCAGAAGCCGCACAAATAGCAAGAATTTAATACTGAGGAACGCTGATGATGGGAATAAATTGATACTTCAGACCATGACCGCATAGTACTTGGGGAATCACATGCATATTTCATTTAAACATGCTTCAATTGATATTACAAAAATAAATCAAGATTTGATGATCATAAAATATTTAATCTACAAGCAAATCACCTCAACGCGACTTTAGATTGTTGGAAAAAATTGGTGATTTGTGTGTAGATATTTATCAGTTAACATAAAGAAATCCAACAATCATTATTAGAACTGTATGTTGGAAAAATTGGGTGATGTGTGTGTAGATATTTATCAAGTAACATAATTAATTAAATAATATAAACATAACATTAATAAATATAATTCAACTATAATTATAAATATATGAACTATACAATAACAGGAACATAAAATATAAGTAGATAGAGTTAGAAATACAAATTTTTGGGAGTCACGTCGAGGATACTGTCCTAAAATCATGTTGTCCCCCTTCGTGCAGATTCTTTTGACACTATACGACTCCAAGATAAAACTCATGTGGCTCACAGTCGGTTCTCCTTCTTTGGATACATCCATATGGAGATAAAGAATGAGCCCTTATCGAGTTGCCAAAAATATTAAAAAATATATAGTATGAAAACAAAGGGAGTATTTTTAATATTTTAGTTTTCTTCTCAAGTTCTATATTTCATGCTATGAAAATCAATCACTTTTATAGGTAAAGTTTCAACCCCCACATTAAACCACTCAAATATAACTTACATTTTAATATTAAGATTTTAATTTAGTATTAAATATGAAAATTAAAATCTAAACTGAAAATTAAAAATGTATTAATTTGAAATTTAAAACTTTTAATTTTATGTTACAACAGTTTTGTACAGTACCGGTTCATGAAATGAACAGTAGTGTTTTCTTCTATTTTGAATTTATAACTTGTTTTGGTGGGGACAATAAGAGAGTTAACTGTTTCAATGGCCACTGAACTTATCTCAGTGTCTTCAAATGCTCACTGAAGTTTAAAATGTTGAGTTTAGGCTGCTAAACTTATTCAAACGTTGGACATTACTTACTGATATAACATATGTTTCAAATCGTTAACGAAATTAGTGACGTGGCTAACGAAATGCACATGTAGTGTCCCGTCACGTTGTTAACAAATTATCGTGTCTTCGATTAGCCACTAAATTTTGAAAAACGCCTTAATTGTTCACTGAAATTTGTGGTGGTCGAAGTTTGACCACTAAACTTATAAAAATGACATTGACTTATTGTTAGTTAAAAAATGTGTATTGCAAGCCCAAGAGTTGTGTAAAAATAATAATGTAGACAAACGAATTCGGTTATTGATCCCACAAGAAATGAATACAATTTTAACATAATTTTGTAGAATTTTAACCCATTTCAATTATTTGAGAAATTCAAATTAATAGTATCTTCCGTTGTTAAAATTAAATTAAAATAAAACTTGAATTTTGCAATGAAACACACAATAAATTCAATTAAAATTCGAATTTTTGTAACAAAACACACCGCCCATTTAATTAAATTTATTTTATATTTTGTTGCAAAATCCAAATTTTAATTTAATTTTAACGGCAAAACATACAAAAAAGTTGAGTTTTTTTAGATGGTGAAAATAGATTATATTTAGTTATTGTATAATTGAGTAATCATTTCTCTTGGGATCAACAATCTAGATTCTTTTGTCCATTTTATTACTTTTATGCGACAGGTGAACTTGCTGTACACATTTTTTAACGAACAATAATACGATGTCATTTTTATAAGTTTAGTGATCAAAATTCGACCACCTCAAATTTCAGTGAGCAATGTAAAACTTTTTCAGAATCAAGTGAGCATTCATAAATATTTTTCAAAATTTAGTGCGTAATTGAAGACTCACATTTGTTAACGATGTGATGGGGCATCACATGTGTATTCTGCCAACCATGTCACTAATTTCGTTAATGGTTTGAAACGAAAGTTGTTGAGAGAAAAAACAAATACAATGTTTGCATAGGAGATGACACCACACACACAGGGAGGTCGGCATTATTTAATTCAGATCGGTCAACCCTTATGTCAAATATTGTGTTCATTTAGTTTAATTCATGAATTTATTATCCAAAACTCGACGTCTTGAGCAATTGAAAAATAGAGACTCAAGTTGAGGCATAAAATCACTATAAAACAGAAAAAATGACCATTTCCGAGTCTACAAGAAATGCATGATTTCCGTGTCGAGAATTGTCTTTCCCGTTCTAATTTGACTGCAATTTCTTTTGTCCACAATTTCCTCTCAAGTAAATCTCAAGGATCACTTTGAACTTTGAAGAAATCTGGGATCGAAACATTCACCAGTAAATGGAAAATTGGTTTTCGCTGATGTACTGAAAAAGGTCAGATATAGACTTCATTTTCATTTCTCTATCCCCTAAAGAATAAATAAATAGAAATTATTTGGCCAATCTTTGAAATTGATTTGTGCTTTATTTTTTTCTAACCAAATTTTTACTTGACTTGCGGGTATAATTACTTGTAAGAAATCTGTTTTACTTGGGATTGCAATTCGATTAAATTATTGTTCATTTTACTGGCCTCTAATTTATATGATTATGCTTTTTATTGCTGACAAAATGAAGGATAATGGGAAAACACTTCATGTAATTAATGCGGCGTTCCCTCACAATGTAGGTATATCTTAGGGTAAAATGATATCTTATTAATTAATATAGAAAATTTGCATCCCTTATTCATTTCTCTGGCAAATCTGCCTTTCTGCCTATGAGGAACAACATTATTTTGATGATAGAAGAATGCCTTATAAACCATGCCAATACCCAGTCATGTCTTCAACCAGTATCGTAGCTATTTCGGGGGGAGGTTCCATAATCCAGTGTTGCATCCCTGCTTCAACAGTTGCCATTTCTGCTAATTTCATGGCAGCCCTGTTAGCGAATTCCGTCACGGGGTGAAATTTAACAAGTTTAAATGCTTGTAAAAGTTTACGGCATTTATGGGCGGTGGAACTTTTCGAGGGCGTAAGTGTTGCCTTGTCATCAAAGGCCACTGCAATTGCATCAACAGAATGTCCCTCAACCTCAAGGTAATCAATGCCTTGTGCTATGGCTTCTCGTAGACCCAACTCAAGGGCTACAAGTTTCGTTTCAAGGTGGCTGAAATAATTTGGCAATGGCTCTGCACGAGCAGCTTTAAATAAGCCATGATGCTCGCGAAGGACGTATCCTGCTCCCCCATGCCTCAGCACATTAGGGCCACATGCAGCGAAATTTAGCCTCCATGCATCTTCCAGTGGTGTTGTCCAGGGTATGGTATGTAGCATTTGAATAGAGCTGCCACAGTAAAGTTGTTGGCGAGGTTTTGGTTGATAGCCTAGAAGTATGGTTCTCATTGTTTAGGTTGTTTGATTGTGAAATAAGATAAAGTTGGTGTTTAGACACTGTATAACCAGCCTGTGAAACACTATTCACTATTTATAGGCAACAACTAGTAATTGCATCTGCTCGGGAAATTAGATATATTGTAATCTACAACGGCTAGTTCATGGCCAATAGTATGAGTTTTCCCAACGGTAACACAACGGATAAATTATTAATTGCCTTAAATGGTGATTGATGGCACTAAAATTTAAATTCGTAGTAAGATGCATCATATACAACTCAATTGGAAACAACTATAAGTGTTGATGTAGGCTTGGGCATATTAGACTCTTTATAGTTCACGAAGAATTTGAATTTCAAGCTTTCTCTGCTTGGGCTTGACACATTAATATGAATATACTAGATGATGCCTTGAATAACTTCCTTTTATTCTTTGGTCTCTATATCTTTTACATTTATATAGTGCACTTGTTCACAATCTTTTGACTGGTTATTTTGTAATCTACCATTTAAGACATCCATTTTGCTACTTCGCCAAAATTTAAATTTAGAGACAGGATTATTACTAATGCATTAGCATATTATAGAATAATATGTGAAAATTGATGGTGTATAAGATGGCTTGTTACTCATCTGTCTTTATTGTTAATCTCTATGTAGATGAATATTCTTATGTATAACCTCAACTTAACTAGGGCTTATACCATACTTGTCTAGCAACTGCATACGTCCTCTTCTTCTACTCTACTCCATCAAGTGCCCTAAGTGGTCTACTGAAAAGGGTCCAACATGTGAGATTCTATCAGAGGGCTTTACAAACAACTACTTCTCATTTGTCGTTGCTTTTGAAATGGATAATCCAAGTTGGTATGGAAACTCGTTACATGGTTTACCCCCAAATTTGAACCAACATTAAATTCTATTCAATAACGATGTTGGATGTTATCACACCTTATTTACTCGAAATCAATTAATCCACTACTCTAAGTCAACTACTTCTTAATTACTCATTTCATGTACTATGATCGACCTTTTACTTTAGGTTTACAATTGATGTTATTTTAATCACTTTTCTTAACATTGCATCTACCCACCTTCGTGAACTACACCTAACTATCTCAAGTGTAATTGTTTTTCTTTTCTATAATATGAAACTTTTTGACAAGGATTTGGATTATCAAAGGATATATAACTACAAGTGAAGAAAAATAAACTCGAATTATAGGCTTTCGAAAGGCCTACTCTCTATTCTCGACTCCATTTTTTTCTCAATGCTTCGACAAATTTGCCAGCCCCTATATTTATTTGGTTTCTAATCTATTCCTGAAACTATCATCCTCTTTCCTTGCTGCTTCTTTCTCGCTTCTCTCCTCTTACCTTGCTGCTTTTCCCCTCTTTACTTTCTTGCTACTTATTTCCTGCTTTCCTCCTCCTTCCTTGTTGATTTCCTCTACTTTGCATGCTACTTCCTCTCACTTTCATTGGTTGATGCTTCCCCTTACTTACCTTGCTTGTAGCTTCCTCTTACTTGCATTGCTTGTTGCATCCCTCCACTTTCCTCGCATAGCATATATCCGACGAACAACCTGTCCCTAAAATCCACATTGTCCCCATGGTGGAATATTTTCACAATCAGGTGGTTATGAAGGGGTTAGTTATGTTTGTATATGGGGTCGGGCTTTTTCAGGTTTTGAGTGAACAAAGCCTCACTTGAGTAAATTGGTCCGGTTTCCAACTTTCCGAGACATTTCCACTACACCAAATTTCAGGTTGTGAATGTAGTGAACATCATGCAATCATTTAGTATATGTATATATTAGATACAAATAATAACTAAATGATCAACAAGGAGAGTGACATGACGCCATATATTACCTTAAATAATTTCTACAGGAGTAGGAAATTTAGTCCATATTTTACAATAGATATTCTTAGTAATTATTCGCTTATTATTAACCTAAGATGGTCAACCGGTCTTGCCAAATATTAATATCTTCGGGACTTTGAACTTTTGGTTCAACATAATATTTATTTCAATTATAGTGATATTCATATATTATACAATCTAAAAGAGAGTGAAAATAACATAATATTGGCTCTTTTAAAACTTAAGTCACATTTGTAGAACCAACGTTATATTGGTGGCAGTTATCACTCTTAGCTTTCTCCTTTAGGGTTCTTTCTACTTTAGGGAGTAATAATAAATTCACCAAATTACTCATAATAGGTGTGAGATATTCTCCATTTCCACTTTCTATGTCATAATATAAATCAATTGATTTCATTAACTTTTGTGGCATCGATAATTAAACCAAATATTTATAAATCAATAAGAATATTGATTTGACGTGATTAGATTAACAAAATGTGACCCCTTAAATATATTCACAATTATCACGTTCTCATAATTAATAAAGGATCGAATAACATAATATAAGTGGATGATGAATTTAACGACATCTATGATATAAATCTAACATAATATCCATAAATTTTGGTCCAAAATGATATCATGCAAAACCATTATAATATAATCTTTCATATGGTGGTGCATAATCTATATTAACTTTAATTCAATCACCATAATTAGTCATGTGAGACATGTTAAAATTATACAAGCATGTTTACAAGCAACTAAATTCCAAAAAAGTTGAGAAATCACAATAAAAACTAACAAAAGCAAGGCCATATTGGATATTTTTGCAATATCCAACTATTTGTAATTAGAAAAAGATAACAATCAAAGATAATAGCTTGGGCATTCAAAACAATTGTTTGTGGGAGTAACAGAATCATTGCAGACAAACTTGCTCCTATTACTATTAGAGAACCAAAATCTTCAAGTTGGGTACTAACTACTATCATTTTCTTGTTTCTTTATTAGCCCCTGTTTGTTTGGCATTATTGTAGGGAGAAAATGAAAAAATTGACCCTTTTTTTCAAAAATTGGTCCCACCACGAGAGACAATGGTCAAAAATCACGGCTACCAACGGTCATAAATCTTCTACAAAATGGGAAATAATGTCAAACAAACTGGGGCTTATTGTTAATTAATGAGAGCACTTTAGCGTGATCATTATTACATAAAAAATAAAACGAACATAAATTATATAAAGCAATTGTATATACAACATAGAAATATTTTTCTAGAATATTTATATTTCGGTCGTGTTTCTTCCAATTTTTTTTAATATTTTAAAATGTTTAATTGTTTATTTGTATATAATCATGCTTCTTCATGAGTATGAAGATAATATTTAGATAAAACAATGTTTTTTTTTTTTCTAGAATGTAGAGACTCGTGCTTATTCGGAAGCAATAATAAAAGATTCTTATGAGTTATTGAATTAAATAAAATTATGCCTTTTAATATCAACTTAACAATGTTCTTCTAGATTATTGGCACGTTCATTATGCTTCTCCAGGAGCTACAAAGTAATATTCTTATAAAATATTGATATTAATAAATTTATATAACCTCACTATAGTATTACGATATTTTTCTTAATATTTATAAGGTTGTAAATATTTGGGGTAACAATACAATAAACTGCCAGAATAATGTAAATTTATGCATCTTCGTGCGCATTTAAATCGTCAAATCAAAATATTTAACCAATCTAGAAAACTTTTGATGCTTATTATATATACGTAATCCTCTTTGAAGATCCAATGTAGAGTATTGTGGAGTACCAGATGTATTCGAATCTTCTCCAATATTCATGTTCACGAGAGAGATTAATCTCTTACAATTCATGCCATAAACCCTTTTATACATTGTAATATGTAGTCACACTTTGCATGCCTTGTGTTTTAATTCCAAATCTTTGAGTTAGGTTTCCTCATCTGAGCAGATTTGAAAAACCGCATTCCAGATCTCTTTCTTTGTTGATAAAAAGAGAAATGTTGGGCCAATATTAGGTTCAATTGAGCCGATGGGTCCTGCCATAACTTTGGAATTTTTGGTTTCCATGTCTAAAACTCCAATTCATTCCCAGTTTTTTATGCTTCTGTGGAACCCATAAGATAATAAACATTCCTTCTTCCACGAAGAAACGTGTTCATGGACTGATGTCCTTATAGGTAATTCTACTAATCTATCTTATGAGTTCTGATAGGAAGAAATGGTGTTCCATCATTCATGAAGAGCCGCTCAAAATTAGCCTCTAAGGGTTTGTTTGGCAGTTTTGGCAAGTTAGTTTTGAAGAAAATGTTAGTTGAAAATAATTATTTTATAAAAGGTAAAATTAAAAGAGAATTTGAGAAACGGCCAAAACCCGCTGATTTGGTGGGTTGAGAGAACCAGTTAAAATTACACTACACCGGTTTTAGGTGATTTTTAAACCATCCAAAATTGTTGTCCAAAAAAATTAGCAAGCACCGGTTGTTCTAACCCTTCATAAATGGTGCTATCCAAAACCGGTCAATATTGGTGAAAATAAAACTTCCAAGCAGTCCCTAAGGTTGTTCATGCTTTAAATGGGATACTATTAAGCATAACAACGTAAAACTAATGACAAGAAGTTTTATCCCTACAATTCTTCCTTGTAACAAACTCATTCCTAATGTTTTAGCAGTACTATACTTTTGACCGTACTTATATTTGAAAAAATATGGTTTAGTTGAAAGAACAGGGAACAAGATATGTACATATTGCAAATCAAAGACCAGAAGAGTAACGCGAGATTTCTGATCCGTCAAGGTCGAAAGCATAACAATCTCTCAATTGAAGACTCAAAAGCTTTTGATGACACACGTATTTCAAATACAAGTCAAAATCTTTAAAAACGTATTTACTCCAGTCATGTATAGGTGCAATTTTCACCAACATTGATCTTTTTTTCCACCAACTCGGTGATCATACTATAGGTCAATAAGTATGCTTCTATTTAGAAACAATCATTTAGTATGTCCACCACTTGTTTGTTCGAATGTATTATGATTTTGATCTACTATTATTTTTAATGTACCTCCAATAACTTGAGGTACATGGTTGCATGAATACGTATA